AGATTTTGGATTGATAGGATAGTTCGTTTACCTAATTTGATTTTTTAATTTTATTTTACTTTAAAAATACTCATTTTAGAAAATTAATTTTTGATATAATCATGCATCATCCGTTTCTTTAAAATTACTAACACTTGTGAATAATTAGAAGAGTGAACACTCACCCACTCTCCATATTATTGTACTCACCTATCCTTATTTCTTTTCCGTCTCTAATCCACTCCACAAATTCGATGCATATCGGATTTTTTGGTTAGCACTTGTAAAACTCACCAAATTAGTGTTGCCAAATTTGATAAGTGCGTTAAAATTTTAAGGGAACAAAGGAAGTCTGTAGTTATTGTTGTAGCAAGTGACATTAAATCTGAGTGTATGTACTATACATACAAACATCTCTTAGCTTGTTATACTCAACTACTCAAGTGCTGTCATGCCTTGATTTGGTTCAAGGCTATGTATTATGTAGGGATGGCAATCTAGTCCGAATCTGCCCATGGTCCGATCCGATCCGAAGAAAAAAATTCGAACCGAATCCAAGAAATAATAATCCGAATCCAACTTCGTTTAAAAAATTCGACTCCGAGTCAAAAGAGGGTCGGAGTTGGATTCTACTTAGAATCCGACTATTCCAATCCGACTTCGACTTTTCTATGCACTTATATATATTCTATTATTCAATTCATGTATTCATAGGTCCTTGAAGTTGATTATATATGGGTTGCTATTGATAATTGAGTCAAAATTAAATTTAAAGTCGGTTCGGGTCGGAGTCAAAGGTTGGAAATTTAAGTCGGGTCGGAGTTGGATTCTCGGAGTCGGAGGCAGAGACAGATTAAAAATCCGACTTTTTGTAGGGTTGGAGTCGAATTTTGCATAATCCGATCCGAATTCGACCCATTGCCATCTGTAAGGACTTATTATTTTCTATTTAGAGTTTTAAAGTTTGAGATTGTGTTCGTTGGATTGGTGGATAAGCTCCTACTTTTCAAATAGGAACTTAATGGTGACATGTTCATGACTTGGGCAAAATACTTGTTGATCTTCATGATCAATTTAGTTTGTCAATCATAGGGGTATAATAGACTTTTCCATCATTAAACCAGGGACAATATGGTAATAACCCATAGTGTGAATCAGCTTTTTCGCCACTTGTGCATATGACCTGTATGTTGATGCTGGCAATGGGAGTTACGGAAAATTGTTGCCGTTAGTTTTGCATGAAATTGTGCATTTATGGCACAATTTACTGTTTTTTTTTTATTTTATAACTTTTCGTTGCATTTATTGGTCATGCAAAAGTCCAACTACCCATTTTTAATGTTGAATGTTTATTTTTTGATCCCAATTTTGTATAGAATGTCCCGTTTGTCCAAATTTTTGGGTTAATATCAACTATTTGTAATACAGTTTGTTAATTTTACATAATTAATTAAATAAAAATAACCGATTTAATAATTACACAATGTATTTGCAATTCATAAACCAAAAAAATTATTCGTTCAAAACTGAAATATTTGATAGTTGTTCTGCATATTCTTTGTAATAAGCTTCCATATCTTGCTATTTTTTAAACACCATTCCAACACCAGGAGACTCGACATATGTGACTATACTAATATGATTACTGGCCACAGTGGTTTCAACCGTCTCCACTGTTTTGATGAAGGACTTATGGGCTACATCATTTGGCCTTGGTGATACAAATAATGTAGATGGAGGGATATCCCCTTCTACATAAGGTAGAATTTCATCTCCGACATCCCTAACCCGATTTGCATCATCTTCCAGACAAGGCTCCTCTCTGCACCTAACACCGCCCCCCTTATCTTGCAAAATACTACCATTGTACCCACCAACTATGGGGGGCGAATCATTGCAGTTCTCCATGGCTAGTTTGTAGGATTTACAATTCTAACACATACACAACTAGAAACAAAACCAAATCCTTTCAATGTCCAACTAATCGAAATAGTATTATCACAATTGATTACATACTCATTCGAATACTTCACACCAACATTTACTACAACCATCCACACACTACAATACTCCGTAGTAATCAAATAAGATAATAATCCATAAATGTGATGAAAAACAAAAACCACAATGCAATGATGCTAAATAAAATTGAATTATATAGTTGGTATTCGACTTACCCAACAATCCAATTGCTCATATGTCGAAAACAATGGCACTTAATAATCGAGGCGATTTCGCTTGCTGTAAAAGATGAACATCATAAACAATGGATGAAAGAGTATGGATTTTTGAATTTACTCATACAAGATGAACAACGTAAACAATGGATGAAAGAGTATGGATTTTTTACTTTACACAACCAAGTTGAACATCATATGTGGCTCAAAACAAGCCAAATTTCCCAGAATTGCAACTTGACGGTATTGCATGAGAGATAACGGCTGTTAGATGACTCATTTGCTGAGTAATTGCCCACAATGACGCAACTTAATATGTGGCCATTTACTGTTCAAAATATTTACATCTTTGCCATAAAGATTGCTTTACTCCATTGATCTTAATCAATGGGGGCGCCCCCCATGACTTGTAGAATTCAATTCAGCCTTTTACCCAATAAAAATGAATGTAATCCTACGAAGTATACACTTATATATATCCTTGTATTTCTAACGCTATTTAAGGTATAAAAGATATTTCCCTCATTTCTTTATATTTAACATACATTCAAATCATTTATACCTTGATTAATTATAATATTATTGGATAACTTATCCAGAAGAGATACTTTTTTTTTTTTTTTTTTGATAACATCCAGAAGAGATACTTGATTAGTAGCTGATTTATTCTTAATTCGATTGTTACGAGTAGTTATTCATGACTAACCCTAAGAAGTCATACTTATTGCGTGTAGTATGTTTATCCAAATGACAGGGCGTAGATAGAAATCGCAAAAAACTAAGGAAAACTAATAGGGTGGTAGGCCAGCTTCCAAGATTTGAGAACGACATTCGTGTGTATGATACTATATTATATACTCCCTATATTAATACGTCTCTTTAAAAAACACTATTGATGATAAAATGACATGTTACTCATACATTCGTAATGTTGCTGCATGACAATGCGATAATTTCTAATTCTATATCCGAACACAAATAAAGGTAATTGGAGGAATAGTGTTGATGTAATTGTTGACGTGGTTTATAGATATGTATAAGGAAAAAAAATTGATAAATAAAGTAAGAAAAAGTCGTCAAAAAGAAGTTGGTACTCTGTATAAAAAAAAAGGTAGATAAATATGAAAGAGTGACTCAAAATGAGTAAAAATAACAGAGTATGGGAAGTAGAGTAGTAAAATTTTTTGGCAAAAATGGAATGAAATGTATATACTACAAACTTTCGAAATATAGACAAAAACGAAAAATATTAACAACTTTCAGAAAAGGAGGTACTACAACTCTACAAATAGTCAAATACTAGTATTAGTTCAGGACTTCATGCTACTCATATTGCCTTCCTTTATGTTTGAATTTTGATGTTGTGAATTTGGGGTCGTTGTTCATTTAGGATTATGATTTATGTTCACTTTGCTCTACCTGATATAATGTTCATTTAGTACTTGTTTGGGTAATGGGTACCAAAGGGCCTCATTCTATTTAAGCCCATTAAAGAACGAGAAATAAAACCAAAACCATCATTGGGCTAGGCCTTCCCTATAAAAATAAAATGCCAATGTTCAATCTCTCAACTTTTACTCCATGATGTTATCCAAGGTCTTACCATTCAAAATACAAATTATTCAATAAATGGCCTTTATTATGATTGCACTAGTATCTGAACTCAAAAGTAATTGCTTCAAGATTAGAAGCGTCGTCTTGAATACTCTTGAGAATTACAATGATCCAGTTTTAAAAATTTGTGACTATTTATTTACCGTCAAAATGAAAAAGTATGGCTTTGTCTGATGTCTATTGACAACGTTGAAAAACAGGGTTTTGCATATCATCCATGACAGAATAATGTGTTATCGCTATATTAATCTTACCTTGTCAAAAAATTTTAAATTTATATTTGGATATTTTTTCGCAATTTTCTAAAAATCTCTTATTTTTTACCGGGTATGACATAGTGAAATGAATACTCTATTTGTTTGTGTGAAGAAACTCATGCCTTTATATATTGACCAAAGCTTTGATAAGAAGATAAGAAGGTGATTAATACAGCTAACACAACAAGACATGGCATTTAAGATTTTGGCTTAGCTGCAGAATGTGCTGACTAAAAGTAGGAGGAAAAGTGGCCCAAAATTTTGAGACAAGTCAAAACTCACAAGCTTTTATGTTGTTACATGTGAAAGTATGAAGAAATGAAGGTACATTGTGATTGCAGCAACAATATTATGGCTTTATTATAAGCTACAAAATGTAACCAAGCAAAGCTTGGTAGAGTTGGTGGAAAACTCACCTTGTAACTTTGAAGTCACGAGTTTGAACTCCACCAACTACATTTGCTTTGGGAGTAGCCGAGTAGGGGGTTCTCTTACTCCCCCTCTACTCTCAAGCGTTGAAGAGTTCATGATTAAACTAGACACACAACCTACTTGACTAGGTTACAAGACTTACAACAATGTCTCTCGATAAAATAAGAATTTAATTGGATTTGAAATATGGATATACACTTCTCTTAAATTAAAATTATAACATTGGCAATTACTTCATAATGTCCTTCATACCAAATTACCAATGATAATCAGCTTCACGGAGTATTAATGTTCCTATAAATTGCCCTTTATGTAAAGTTACGAAGCTGAAGCCTATGATCGCCTAATTTTTTCATTGCCAAGAAACAAGAGAATTTTAGGATTCACATGCTTTGACTTAATGTGAATACTCCACAAGTTTTCAAGTCAAGCTTAGTAATGTCCGGTCTCTGAAAATTTCGAGTCAAACTCAAACAATTCGCCAACTAACTAGACTCATTAACACCCCTATTTAAGTTTAGAAGTAGAGGTTAAGAGACCTGACAATCTAATTTCCGCACATAATAATACGAAGAACACTAGAAACATACGGAATAGCATTGATCATGAGCTCATAACACAAAGATTTGGTTTGGCTTTGAATCTATGATGTTGCATGAATGCACATAATTAAGGTCCCACCACCTCAAACTTCCAAAACGATGACCAAATCATGAAATCAAGATAATCATAAAAATAAAAAACCCTCACATATAAAATATAGTGTGTTAACTGTGTAAATATTCGTTTAATTACCATATATTTACCAAGTATAAATTCCTTTTTTTTTTCTTATCTCCTAAAAAAATCAGTTACAGAAAAAACCCCAGAAAAAAAAAAAACCAATCAAATGAAAACCCTAAATCTTCAACCACACACACATTCACTGTAACTCTTCTTCCATCCCTTTTGAATATCCGATCTTCAATCAAAAACCCTAATAAATTTCATTTCAATTTCTTCAAATTCCCCAAAATTTCCCACGATTTAGGGTTTGGTTTCCAATTCACCCCAAATGAAGGTCCACCCAGCACCGAAGAAGCGAAACATAGCCCTACGATATGACATCGTATCATCATCGTCTTCAACAACACCTTGCAGAGGTCAAAAGAAGCTTCGAAGACTTCCGCACATCTTCGCGAAGGTTCTAGAACTACCCTTTTGCTCAGACGCTGACGTGGACATCGAAGAAACCGTTGATTTCTTCAAATTCACGGTGTTTGACACGGATGTGGCGTCCGATGTGGTGGCGGATACGGTTGAAATTCACCCAGGTGTCACGAAGATAGTGGTCCGAAGTAATTCGATTGCTGACGTGGCGATGACGGGGCTTGAGCTCGATTTATGGCGGTTTCGGTTGCCGGATTGTACTCGGCCGGAATTAGCGACGGCCACATATGACGGCGGCGATTTGGTGGTGGTGGTTCCGAAGGAGGAAGAGGAGAGAGAAAATGGGAGAGAGGTTGTTTGGGGTGAGGGCAATCTTGTCATTGTACAGTGAAATTGATGACTGGTGAGAGAGCTTAAATCAAAGCTTTTTCTTTTAATTTTTATTTTTTAGTTTTAATTTTTCTTGTGTTGGTTAGTTTCCCTCGTTTTTAATTATGTTTCTATAGTTGAATCATATGTAATGTGGGAAACAAAAAAGTTTGCAATGCCATTTTGGGCTTTTTATGCTTTCAATTTAGTTGATCAATGTTCAATTATGTTCTTGATTTAACATTATTATATTGGGTAAATTGATGCTGGGATTTGTGAATTTTCTTTTAGTACAGTGTTATGATGTGCAATTTTTTTTTGGGATGTTCAAAAGTTGGGTATTTCTTTTTGTTGTGATTGATTATAAAGTTTAAGGCTTTTTAGTGGAATGATGGGTTAAGCTTACATTGTTTGTAGAAGCATTGTTAGGAAGCTTTAGGTGTTTTGATGGGGGTGATAATGTTAGTGTTAGTTTGAACTTCATTAGAGACCATCGATGGCGATATTGATACTACTATTCTATGTTGTTATAGCTGGTATAGCTTCATTTTACTTGTGGGAGATGAGACATCAGAATTAATACTTTAACATCTTGTACACCCTCTCACCAGACAAGCATTAAAAATACAACGAGGCAAGCCCTGTTTCTCGGTCATGGTAATAGTGTGATCATGGTGGCATGTTATTAGATATTGTTGTAGTTACATTTGAACACTAGGACTTTTTCGACTTGTATTTCCTGGCATGGGCCTTTGATGGTGAAATGGTGTATTGATTAGTACACTAGATTTGTATTTAAAGTTGCTTCTGATTAATTGTGGAGCCTTGGAAGTGAGGTCACGTATGGGGTATCTATATGGTTAAATGCTATACATCTATTTTATATAGGAGTAGCTGAATAGGTTTCTAGTTAGATGCTATTCTCTGTCGGAATTTCATCTTTGTTTCACTATCCACATCCAAAGTCCTCTGTTTTTTAGTGCTGTATTATTGTTCATGACGCTGTGAATTATCAGTGAGGCATTTGTTTTGATTTGTGTTTATAGTTAGATAGAAGATTCCCCTCAGAGTACTCACTTTCCCGTTGATGCTTGTAACATAGAAGCATTACTTGTGCGTGGTCAAGGAATTTGTTGCCTCTTCTGTTTCTCTGTTATGGTGATTGATTTCCAAGCATTTTGTAGTAGAGAACCTGAGTTGCTGACTGCAAAGTTGCTAATTTTCTTCCAATTGTTGGTGCGTACACAATTGCCTGTTTTTGTGCTTTCTATTAGTGGCATCCATGGTATGATAATTGTACTAACTCTTGTAAGTAGTTGAAAATCTTATGTACATGGAAATATCAGATTATTCAGGGTAGAGGAAGGAAAGGGTAGTCTCCCATCCTCTAGATATCTTAGTTGGGATTTGTTCCCATGCCTTCAAGGTTACTAGAAAATAAACCTTGAACACTAGACGTAGACAAGCTTGGTATGTGGTGATTTACACTTGTTCATGTAAAAAACTAGCTTGTATTATCCTTTTCTATTGCAGGTTTATCTTTTTCATAAAGCTAATTATTAAACTTATCAATAGTAGCGTCATGATTTGGGACTTGCTTTATGTTGTATAAGATTGCCTTTTATGAAACCCTTTAATCCCAAACTTTGTGACCTTTCTTTGTCATAATTGTAGGGAGTTCTTCACTTCGTGTTTAATTTCTCTCACTTTATGCTTTACAAATTCTATGATACCTTACTTTACCAGTGTCTCAAGGCTCTTCCTCTCTTGTATGTTTCGAGTTTGTTCATCTTTGTTACTAATGCAGTAGTGCTGGAGCAGCAATGGTCCCGTAGCACGTGCCTTAACGGGCACCGCCTTTTATGCTATGCGACTCGGTGACAATTGAAAGAAAGTGGAGATGGAGTGGAGGGTGGTCCTGGTTTGCAAATGCACTATTTTCTGCTACAGTAAGCTACATTCCCTGACCCACTTGTGTCTATCTTTCGCCATCACATATAACTTGATTTACCTGATCTTCTTTTGAAAGCATACCATACATGAAATAAATCTTCATTGTTTTTTTTAATTTTATTTTAAAAGTATTTTGTCGTTTCATTCCTTGAGTCCATATGCTGTGGAGCATTTTAGGAACAGTTTCTCAGAAGTTGCATTCCTTGGCTGCTTCTTACTGTGTGTGTTGCATCAATGCATCTTTTTCTGGGACCCTCATTTTATTATCGTTTAAATTGTTTAACATTTGCTTAATTCTTGTGATGTTTAAATGAGTCAAGATTATCTTTTTGTTTGCTTCTTGACCTTTTTTGATGGAAAGTTAGGTTAGCAATTTTCTAGCTATATTCCTGCCACTTTATGCCGTCTTAGTTTAGTCATATTCCTGCCACTTAATGCTGTCTTAGTTTAGTCAAAAATGCTAATTTTTCTAAAGTTTAAGTCGTCCTTTTTTTTTAGAGGTGTTTAAGTTGAATATGTTCAACGTCATTTTTTGCATTGGATAATAGGCAAAAAGTTGGGAAAGTCGGTGCCTAACGGTAGAAAAGAGTAAGTGTTTAACATCATTCTGTTTGTGGTGACACCTTGCCTTTACTTCGTATGTACTTGCAAGTAGTTTTTTTCTTTTTTCTTTTTTTTCTTCTCATTTCGACAAATTTGGTATTGTTACCTGTCAAATTGTACATCTTTCTGGGCTCTTGAATTAGGTCTTTAGTGATGATGCGGGTTTAGTGAACCTTGCTTGGCTCTTCTCACCTCTGTGACATACTGACATATAACAGGAGCGTATCGTTTATGTGTATGGTCATCCTTTAAAGTGTACTTCGTATTAAGCATTATTTAAGCTTGGGTCCGGGTGTGGGGTTGATGAGACAAATTATGTTTTACTAAATGTTTTTTTTTTTTTTGAGTTAAAGCCTTTTGAGATCTGAACATAATCAAAGCATGGGGGGGATCAGATTCTGTTACGGGTCTGAAGGATTTTCGGAGAAAACTTTTCATCAGTGACGGATGGTATGATGCATTGTATCAGTGTGATTTATGCTTCTCTCTGACATTGCATTGGCATCTTCCTTGTTTTGGTTTCTTTTTGTTGGACGAGCAATGACTGTTAGCAGCTTTGCGCCTTTGATTGGTTTGTATGCATTGTGCAACCATTTGGGTTGTGGATTCTGCATTTGAGGCTGAGTGGAACAGAGGTGGTTTTGGTGGTAGGGGGCAGGGATGGGGGTTATAAAATTGCAGTATTATCTTAGCTTGGCTAAAATCGTGGCAAATTGAACATGTTGAATTACTGAATAATCATCGGCATTGAATACGAAGAATAATGCTGCTTCGATGACTTAGTTAGCAAGCATCTATAATTGTCAATTAAATACTCGAGAAAGCGACTTGCACCCTTTTAACAAGCTTCAAGTAGCATTATTATAGAAGGGAATCAAGTAATGAAGCTTTTTTTACTATGAGAAACTTCTTGATTGGAGTGTATATACAAAGTAGTGAAACTACTTGTATAATTTACAATAAGCATAATTCTAATTAAGTTAGGAAACTTAGCATAACAATTCTCTAAACCTGTGAAGTGAATGTACAATTCTGTATCAAGGGGTAAGACGTCCGCCTGAAGTTTCTATCTGCGGATAGAAGAGCTAGGTGGGAATGTGGGATGCAAAGTTGCAAGGCAAATCCTAGCATTTGAATGTAGTTAGTGTTTTTTTCTAGCGAATTTGCCTTTATTCAAACTTGTTAGAATTTATTAATGTTCCTATTTGAACTTTTAAAAATTATTTTGCATATAGGTGTTATGCCTTGTTTTATTTAAATTTATCTTAATTTACTTTTTACCTCATCTACTATGAATTGCCAAAACAGACTTCTTCAAGGCAATTCTACAATTGTACAATTAATGCCGGATTGACCTCTAATTTTACTACACCAAATAATGCATTTATAGGGCTTACATTCATACAAGTATATTTTACTTAGTAAAGGATTTTTTGCCAGTAAATTTTGAGTGTATTTCAATACCATCAAACAACGAGTAACCTTTGTATGTGATAAAGACCTATTAATTGGCAAAACTTAAATGTACATAAGGAAAAAACAAGTCAATTTTTATCAAAAGGTCAAACTGATAATAACATCAACTAATTAACCAAATACGTGATATGATCAACACCAATCTTTAATTACCAAACAAGGCCTATATATTGGAACGGATTAGGCTCGTAACTCGAGCACATTGATCCAATTGTTGACATGCACACACAAGCATTGTAACCTTGTAAGTGGTGAATTTTCAACAGAAGATCACCCTCAATAACGAACCAACACGTGTAGATAAAAATATAATCACAAATAATTACCCCTCGAAACTTGGACACTAAGCACACAATATATAGTGCCACTCGTCAAACATACACTACAATTGTCATGTTCTAACATACATTACACCATTACACTTTAGTTTTGTACACAAAATCCTGGTGATTTTTGATCAAAAACTTAAAAACCCAGAAAATATATCTAGGATAATGGCGTATGAACAAGAACGACGAGGAGAAATGGGAGCAATAAAGTACGGTGATGTGTTTGAGATGTCGGGGGAATTGGCGGAGCAGCCTATTTCTCCGAGGGATGCGGCGGCGATGCGGTCGGCCGAGACTCGGGCATTTGGGAAGACTATCAAAGGTGGGCCTGCTTCTCTTATGCTTGAAGCTGCTGCTAAGAATGTTAAAGCTGGTGTTGTTGTGCCTGATGACACTCTTTCTTCTGATCAAAACCTGGTATTTGTTTACTCTTTTGTTTATCTTACTTTGTTATTTGTGTAGATCTATTTTTGTTTGTTCGATATTTGATGTCACACTGTCTTAACCTCTCGTAATTAAAGAGATACTAACACGATTTTATAAATTAATGTTAGTGTCACTGTCACTTATTAAGTTTATGTATCCTGAATTTGGTGATGTTTGAATGATTATGGATTTCTGATAGTGTAATGTGTATGTGGAATTAATTAAATAGTAGAAATCATTTTAATGTTTGTTATGTAAGTTAAAATTTGTTTGTGTCTAGATCTTATTTTGATACAGTGATATGAAAAATAATTAGTCACTTGGGACATGGCAAGTCTTGCAAATAATTGTTGAGCTAGGGTTTTGTTGATGTAAGAAAATTTGGAAGTAAGTGATACATTGGGTGCTGTATGCCTAATATTGTGAGAAAATTTTATGGTGTAAGATGTAATGTTATTATAACAAAGGTTAATTTGTTAGTGCTTGTGTAGTCTGGTAGTATTTATTGAATTGGATGACGAAAACGTGTGTTCGATTTGCATTAGAACATAATTTCTATGCTCCTTATCCAGCAACAGGGTAAATCAATAGAAGTAAAATCAATTCCTGGCACATTGTCCATGAACATCAATGGTAGTTCTACTGTATTTATTAGTAATGTGCACAATACCTTCGTCCTTAATTACCAATAGGATATGACCTTATGAGCAGTCTCAACTATCCACATTGGATGATGGATCTACCGAGGTTTCAAAATCAGTCTCTAGATAAAGTATTTCAAAAAGGGGGCGGTAGATGTTGGTGCATACTTCCATCTTGCTATAGTTGAGAAGAAAATGAAAGGTGGCTAGTGCTGCTGAGTCACATACTTTTGATGCTTATTTAGTTTCTGCTTCATGCACAAGGTGGATGACAACCCATGGCATGATTCTCAACTGTCACATGAGCAAATGGAATCGGCTATGTCAGTGGAGGGAATGGGATCGGGTTCTGCAGGGGTAACAATTGGAGAAGCACTGGAGGCAGCTGCTGAGGCTGTAGGGGACAAACCTGTAGACCGATGTGATGCTGCTGCAATACAAGCTGCAGAGATGATCGCCACTGGATATAATGCTGGCTTTGGTTCTGGCTTAGGCGCTGAAGCTCAGGCTGCTGCCACTAATAATGCACAAATGATGTATGATGAGGACAAAACCAAGCTCTCTCAAGTCCTCGAGGTTGAGTATCATCACACTGTTTTTTCCTTACTAGTATGAGTATTATCTATATAATTTTCATCAATGATAATAGCTTTCTAGTTCCCAGTTTCCTACCAACAACAATTATGCATAAAACTGACATGCTGTCAATTTGAAGATAATGCTATAGGGAACTTACATGTTCCCCTACCCTCGCTCATTCCTTTTGACCATGTGTTTGTGAGAACCTTTTGGGCCAAACGGGGATAGTAAAATGAGCTAGAGGGAGTACTTATTCTTGAAAACGATTCAGAGAAGTTCACAAGTCAATGTTACTAACTGAAACATAGATATGACTAGTGATTTTGCTGATAGGTAAATAGGTTAGCAGCAGTTCCTTCGCTTCTTTAGAAGTTCTTACAAGTATTTTTTTAAGAGTTGTAAACAATCAACCCCCCCCCCCCCCAAATAAAAATTAAATTTAACTTATGAATGCATCCCTTTACAAGTCAGGATCTATTGCATACAAGTATATGTTTGTGGTACCTAACCTCTGATGACACTCAGGAAGCGACAAATATGCTCACAGATGACAAGGTAGCAACGAAGTTGGATGCTGAACGCATAAAAGCAGCTGAGCTGCGAGGTCATTCTGGAGGGGCTAGTGCGGAAGATTCACTCCATCTCTGCGGTGTAAAACAGACCACTACTCCTGGTGGAGTGGCAGAGGCTGTGGAGACTGCGGCTAGGATTAACCAACCTGAGAAATGAATGTGACTTACTACTTACCGGCTAATATACATACTTGAATGCTGTCTATTTTTCTTTCCAACTTTTTTGAGCTTTGTTTTCCACATGTGCTGTGAATGTGGTGTAATGTGAGATCTCATCTTAAACAGGGCATGATTTTGTGATAACGGTTTTTTTTTTTTTTTTTTTCATGTGTCCCACTTATCATCATCAATTAAGATGTTATCTCGTAAGTCTGTATGTATACCCCATATGTTCTCCTGATCTTATAATCTAAGTGATGTGTCAAAAAGTTTAGTTTTATATGAAATGTTGTGCACATATTATGTTACTGTGTCAATCCTTGACCACGATAATCAGAACCGTATGAGCACTGCCTATGCATGTCTGCACTTGGAGGAAGATCCTTTATGCTCTTGGGAGCCTAGTGTGATTTATAAAATTGAATCTCTTAGCATATAAACGATCATATATCACCAGCCCCGTTTCTGAGATTTCAGTGGCCCGGGGCAAAGATATAAATTGGGGCCCTATTTCACATGAAATACCAAAAAAATTTAAAATTTTTGGGTATGCAAAAAAAAAAAAAAAAGATAAAAAAAAGACATTTTATTACGATTGAAATCAAAGTCTAAACATTCACACGTAAATATTTCTACGAGCATTTCTGGACGCAAAGTCACTAATAATCGTTTCTACATCAATATGTTCTAACATATTTTTCTCAATACATAAAGTAGCTAGACCATTCAACCTTTCTTGTGACATTGACGATCTCAAATAGTTCTTTAGTAACTTCAACTTTGAAAAACTTCTTTCGGTAGATGCAACTGTTACTGACATAGTTAATAGGATTCGATATGCAATGGAAACATTTGGATAGCAATCTGCAGCTTTGACAAATTCAAGGATTTCAAATGCTGACATCAAATCATTTGGCAAAGTCATTTGTAACACTTTCAATTCAGAAAAAAGATCATCTGCATCAACATCAGAAAAATTATTATGAGTAAAGGTAGTTTTAAAATTTGTGCAGGATTTTCTCAAATCATCATTATCCAACAATTTCAAACTTTTTGCATCAAACAAAAAACCAAATATGTTATTAAATACCTCCAATTGCTCAAATCTATTTTTCAAAGAAGCTATTGCAATATCAACAACCACCAAAAAATAATTGACTCTAAAAGATTCCTCGGGTGATTGTTCCTCATCATCATTTTCACTCTCAATTTCATCAAATTGCCTCTTTCTAATGATACGACGCTTTGTTGGAAATGTTGGCTCTATATTCATATCAAGTGCAAGGTTTTTGGCAATTTCCAAACTAGCTTCAAACCCTTCAATTCTATATTTCTCAAAATATGTGATTATACCCTGCACTTCACTCATGGATTTAGATTGCAATTTTTTACTCACAATATTAATAGCAAATAAAATGTCATACCAAATTACCATGCCAAGTAAAAATTCAAAATTTGCAAGCGAATTAGCCAAACTTTCAGCTTCACTTTTTGTTTTAGCAATATTAACATCATCATGACAAGAATTGTACAATTCCAACAATGCTAATCTAATTTGAGGAGATTGAAATCTTATAGCTTAAACACTCTTAATTCGACTCTCCCATCTTGTATTACACAAAGATTTAACAGTTAAACTTGGCACATTGTCAACTAAAATCTTCCACCTTTTAGTGGAATGTGCAAATAATGTGTATATGCGTTGTACAATTCCAAAAAAAGATATAGCTTTAATGCAAGAATGTGCCATATCTGAAAAAGTGAGATTTAAACTATGACAAGCACATGACATGTATAAAGCCCTTGGATTAATATCAAGCTATCTCTTTTGGACCCCTTAGTGTTTTCCTTTCATATTAGAGTCATTGTCATAACCTTGTCCCCTTATATCATCAATATCCAAATCAAGAGACTTACAAACATTTAACAATACATTTAAAAGTCCCAATCCAGAAGTATCATCTACTTTTAAGAATTCTAAAAAAAATTCTTCTATTTTGATTTTATCATCTGATACATTCACGCATCTTACTATAAAAGTCATTTGTTCTTGATGACTCACATCAGGGGTACAATCAAGGATTACAGAAAAATATTTTGACTCTTTTACTATTTTTATTATTGAAGTCCGAACACCATGGGCTAAAAGAGAAATAAGCTCATTTTGAATTTGAGGACCAAGGTAATGATAGTGAATTTCATGGCTTTGAATACGTCTTACATGATCTTGCATTACAAAATCAAATTCAGCTATCATTTCAATTATACCTAAAAAATTACCATTGCTATCATCATAAAGCTTTGCACTAGATCCACGAAAAGCTAGATTATTTTTAGCTAGACATTTCACAACAGATATAATTCTAATTAAGACTTGCCTCCAACGTTCTTTTTCCTTTGAAATTGCCTCTTGCAAGTCTTTATCAATGCCTTTGTTCTTTTCTAATCTCACTCTTGTTTCATTCCACGTGTTCATATTAGTCATATGCTCAACACTATTTTCATGTAATTTGAGTTTCTCACTAAGATGTTTCCAATCATTCACACCATCATTTGCTAAAAAAGATTTGTTATTTTGAGATGCGAATAATTTACAACAAAAACAATATACTTTATCTGCTGCTTTTGAGTAAACCAACCATTTTCTATCAAAAGTCTCACCATTGCTAAGCCTCTTAGTATAATAGGCAAATGAAAAATGCCTTAATTTGTCATCAATTGGAAACACAAGGTTCAAGTCTCTTATGGGTCCTTTTTCAATTAAAATATCCCTCTCTTTATTGTCAAGATTACCCCAATTATTAGGATCATATAAATCGAAAGGAGGGACTACTTGTTCATCAATGCCTATATCATTAACATTGGATGCATTTGGTGCATCCATTGGTTCATTCATATGAGTCGCATTCTCATCCGGGTCATTGGCATTATTAACATTGTTTAAGTCCTCATTAGCTTGTTCATGATTTTCATTTTCCCCCAATTCATGAGATGACACGTCTACTTGTACTACTTTAGTAAAAAATTTGTCAATGGAACCCTTTTGAGATTCTATTAACTCTTCAACTCTTTTTCTTTTTTTTCCTCTTATCATTACCAGATAAATATCTTCTAGGCAACATTATATGAAATAATGAAAATTAATAAAAGTATAAAAAAGAGCAAAAACACCTGATAATTGAAGATTTAACACCAAATTCTGCTCAATGCCTCAATTTGAACAATTGCACTCCAAATAATATCTCAAATTTGAAATTCTGAAACTACAGTACATGTTATACACTAGTATTTTTAGGAAAATCAATTTATCAAACAAATAAGAATATAATTACCAATTTATCAAACAAATAAGAATATAATTACCAATTTATCTTCTAGGAAGCCATTGTTTCACCAAGGATTCAACGAACCAAACTCAACCAATTAATTGAATTTTTTTCCCAATTTTTTTCCCCAACTTCTGATTGTTCTTCAACTCGAAAACAGCTATAAAAATTAAAAATAATAAAAATTAGACGAGATACTTTGATGAATTAAGGAGTATATGCAAGTATTATATATAATTAGGCAAAATCCCGTTGAAAATTGATGAGCAAAATTACTGTTTTTGATCGTTTTCCTCTTCAATTGAATCTCGAAAGTCGAAACAACCCCAATTCATCTGACTGAAATTGAAAATTGTATACAAATACATCTTGGGGATTAGATTGAAGATTGAACGTTTTTTTTGGAGAAATCAAATAACTTTGGAAAGAGAATATTATGGCCGAAAATTAGGGGAAAGAAGTTGAGGAGATTGTCTGAATATTAGGAAAGAAGTTAATGTATTACACAAGCTTGAATGATGGAAATGAACCGTACCTCTTAGGCTTCATTTCAGTAAGACAGCAACGTGAGCTTTTTTTTTGGGGGCCCAGGGCGGTCGCCCCAGTTGCCCTGGGCCGACGACGGGCCTGTATATCACTAAATTTAGGTCTCATGAGTGACCAAAATCGAATGAAGAAAATTATAATATGTTATTTTGCTAGCTTTGATGTACATAAGCTAAAACACAAAGTCAACATAAATTGGTATTGAGTAACAAACACAAAACCAATATGGTACAATGGTGTAATGGTATAATATTAAATCATTATCAAAGTGAATGACTGAATGTTAACAACAATGAAGATAAAGGACTCTGAGATACTTTTTATAGGACCCTGAGATGCCAAATTGGTTACATAAATAATTATATTTTACAACTTTTCACTCTCAATGCAACATAATTCCAAACAGTTACATAAATAAACCAAACTCGCTCTTACGACTTTATAGTCTTATTGGTAGGTTTGTTTATGATTCTAAATCAATTTATATGATCTGAGGGTCATCGCACACATTGATTACAATTTTTGAAAAATTTCTCAAAATTGGCTTACATAGTGGATTAAAGCATTTAATTTTGAACCATTTTTAACTTTTTTGGACACAATTTAAAAACATGTCAAGGTATTTCGATAGACACCCCAAGAGTCCATTTAAGTGGTTGGAACCTTATCCTTTACCTTAAAATTGCCAATTTATCCGGCCTCTTACAACTTACGCCTTCCTTGATTAGCTCAAGGTCACTACAATACTTTATATAATCAATTGGTGGCCGTATATAGCTCCTAACAATAGTATATGTCCTTGGGATTCATCCCCTACACACTTGAGCCCTGATACATTTTTGGTGCCATGGAGGACTTCTATCAATGCAATGAAAGAACCATCCCTTCCTATTTCTTTGTCTTGTCAGATAGAAAGAAAATGAGACCCCAAAGAGCCCCTCTTTACCACTTTAGGGGGTGGGGGTGAAGGGGGGGTTTACATACAACTGAGGCAAAGTGGCTGATTCAAGCTAAAGCTTGCCTCCGCTATGGGCCACTGCTTTTTTGGTTCTCAGTCAACGGGATCGGGGACTGTACGTCTATTTAACTGTATCGCGGTCCTCGGACTTCTAGGCGGTTTTTCTTTTAGGCAGCTGTTTACCGTTGGATCTCGCCAATACAACCTCCAATTGTTTTCGTTACCGTGCGTTGTTGATGATACACATTACTGAGATTCCTTTAACACACCCTGAGGCTTAAGAAAGATGGCCATATAAGTGACTTCCTAGCCAGAGAAGAACAACATGAGCTATACTCAAGGAAGTTATGGACTGGAATCATAGGGACCCTTTCACTCTATTTTATTAAATACGTTTAGTGAAAAGAATGTTTTTTGATACACCTAGGACATGGATTCTATATGAACCAATGGATCGTGACAAGTCGTTACTATCAGCAATGACTTCCTCTTTCCTTACGAGCCGCTGCTCCTCGGAGATCAACGGTGCACAGTGGCGGACCCAGGAATTTCCGACTGGTGAGTCACAATCGATAATCAAATATGTAAATTTTTTTTTTTACCAAACAACCAAATAATAGTACTAAAAAATACATCCAAATATTCAAACAATACAAAATACAACCAATAGGCAGCATCCTTTTCCACACTATACTCAAGCCAAGTCCAAGTACCAAACCACTTAGCACAAAAGCGACGGTTTTTGCCAAAAATAGAAGTTTGAGGAAATACAAAGTCTTTGGGCTGACAAGGCTTTCTTTGAATGTAAATTCTTCTCACTAAATCTCTATCATCTTTATGAAATTCACTCATCTTTCTCCTCTTTCCTGGATCTTGTGGAAGATTAGCAAATTCATGTTCACTTAATCTTTCATCAAAGATTGGGGCATTAGGAGAACATTGGTCTTGTTCATTTTGAGGGGAATTTTAAGTTGAATAATGAGATGGAGATGAATGTTGTTCACTTTCTTGAGGTTGAGATATAGTTTGTTCATTTTGTGTTGGATGTGGAAGAGAAGTTGGAGTAGGATTCTTTTTAGCAAAAAAGCTAGTAATGTTTTGCATTTCATTTGGAATGCGTTTTCTCTTCATTCTGAAATTACAAGACTAAAATTAACAAACTAATAACTAACAAGCTAATAAACACCCTAACTACTGTTCTCCGTGTAATAACAGTTTAAACAATTTACAGCAACAATCACAAGAAAAAACTTAAGAATGATTTAAGGTTTATGTAACCACAATTCAGACACAATGTTTTACAATTCCTGAATCCGCCTAGTCTATACGAAACTTCCAGCCGAATATGCGACTAGCACCAGTGCACCACTAACCAGTCCACACTGTAATCTAATTATAAATTTATAATCCTCCTTACACTAATAGCTGTCTTATACAATGTCCGGCATCACATAAAATAATAAGTTCAATTTAACAGTCAAAACACAAATAATGCAAATTCAATGAACATTCATCGTATATACTAATTTTAAGCAACAAGTAATGCAAATTTGATCAGAAATTCACACAAAAAAAAAAGAATAAATTGATGATTACCTTGCCAGAAGACGGCAGACGCTGATTGAGGCGAGTAGGCGGAGCAGCAGGGCCAGCACTGGAGGCGACGAGGCGTGAGCCGATGAGCGAAGAGGAAGCGTTAACTACAAATCAACCAAAGTTTAAACCAAAGTTTAATAAAATTAACTAATCAGACTGAATTAAATTGAAGATAAGAAATTAAAAATAAAAATTAGAAATCAACTTACTAGTGAATTAGCAATTGCGTCGAAGCGATTGCGAAGAGGCGAAGAGCAGTGAGTCAGTGACCACGAAGACGGAGCAGGAAAGCATCAAGCAGGAAAGCAGCAGAGGCAGAGCAGGCGACTGGAGGGTGGCTGGGTGGAGGCAGTCTGGTGAAGATGAAGCGAAGAGGAAGTCAAGAGGCGAAGAGGGAAGAGAAGCTGAGGAGGCAGTGGGCTAGGGCTTGAGGAAGTGTCGGGAAGTTAGATTTTTTTTTATATTTTATTTTTTTAAAAAAAAACTTAAAATTTTTTTTGGGCCCTGGTGAGTCATTTGACCTACCAGGCACAAGGCCCAGTCCGCCACTGACGGTGCAAGATGAACCCGCCCGGGGCCCCTCTGAATCCTGGATCTCCTCGACACCAGAAATTCCCGGTGCCAGTTGCTTACTTAGCAAAGTTTGAAATTGGTTGTTATAGCATTCAGTTTCAGACATTTTTGGACTTGAAATGAAAAGTGGCCGAGGTTCATCCCATAGACTCCATGACACATCGGGAAGTCATTCGGGTGGTTGAAATCATCTACTTTGCCTTTAAAATGTCAATCTAGTCATTTACGTTACATGATTCCTTTAATTAACTCAAGGACATCATTGGTTTTTGTATGACTAAATAGTGATCTTATATGGTTCCAAATAATTTACTACTTCCGTTACTATTTATTTACAATGATTAGATATTTTTTACTCAAATTTAATATTAAATTGTTTCAAATAATTTAAAACCGAGGTGATAATAGAAAAGGTTATTTGAAAAAAAAAAACGAAAAAAAATAATGCCATTAAGCAATTGGGGGAGTGATAAAAGTGGACACTTGTAAACCTGTAACATTCCAGAGACCACACTTGTCAAGTCCTAGTAAACCCCAACATAAACCACATTTCCTAAAACCTGATTTGTCTACGTTTAAATCATCAATAAAAACTCAAACTTAAAACTCCCCATTTTGTAGCCAATTATCACGGAATTCCGATTACTTGTTAAAAATTAAAAAGAAATGGCAAACGAAGAACCAAGAGCGGCGATAACAATAGGAGAAGCGCTAGAAGTGGTTGCCACAATCGTCGGAAATAAACCCATCGACGACAGCGATGCCGCCGCCATACAAGCCGCCGAGATGAGGGCCACCGGCGCCACCAGTCCTCCTATTGATGGTATCGGCTTTCAAGCGCAATCTGCTGCTATGGTCAATGCCAGAAGAATTTATGATGAGGAGAAAACTACTCTTGCTGAAGTTATTGGGGTTTGTCTTTCTTTACCATACTTTTATTATTTGATTTAGTTAATTATTGCAATTTGTTATTTTTTAATTAGGTTTATTTGGGGTTTTAGTTTTCTTGTTATTTGATCTGTTATAATGTTTCGATTTGTCATTTGTGGGAGTTTATGGGTTAGATCTAAATTTGAAGTTCTTGTCAATTATTAACACTAGAAATTATTTAGAGCAATGATGTAGACGGGATTATAGCACAATATTATTAACGGCCACTATAACCTGATAATAGGGATTTTTCCGGAGACACAAAAGACAACGTCGTAGACGGAATTTAAGAGTTGCATCATCGGTCACTATAAACGTAATAGGGCAATAAAAGGATTTAAGTTGAATAAAATACTCATGGGATCAAAGAGTTGAAAATTATATAGATTGGAAACCGGAATTTGGGATTTAGGTTGTGAATACTCCCTTTGTTTCGAATATATGGAGGGAATTGTGATTAGATTTACGAATGCTTGAGCTATTCTTAGTGATTTGAAGAGAATATTAAATGATACAACTTTTATCTTTGATTTGATTAGAATGAGTACAAAATTATGTGGCAAAATTTGGATCTATGTACTAAATCTTGGGGTTGTTTTATGTGTAGGATGCAACTGAGAAGTTAGAGAGTGACAAGCCAGTGACAGTGAGGGATGCAGAGAAGGTCAGAGCAGCGGAGCTGCAAGGGGATGTGGACGGCCTCGAAAGCGATCATACAGACGCTCCTAAGGAATCGGTGACTCCCGGAGGTGTTGCTGAGGCATTAGCCACTGCTGCTAATATTAATCAACCTCCTTCCTAAGCCAACTTGTTTGTAGTTCTCTTACTTATGTTCTTACATGTACATGGTTTGAAGTCTTCTTCCATTGTTTTTGTTCTTAAAAATCCTCTGTTTTTTTGTTTTTGTTTCGGAGTTACATTGGTGGAGGGGTTTTAATGTTCTTGAGTGTCTTCAATTTGTTATCAAGGTGTTATCTTGAAACGCAATTTCCTTGAGATAGTTGCACTATATATACATGTGTATTGACCATGGTATGGTTTTTGTACGACTAGTGATCAAATAACAAGTGAACCGTTAAACAACGCTTCCATTTTACAGAACATCGCTCCCTTTTTGATATGGAAGGACGATATTGTCTTTTGTGTAAGTTGTAGTATATAATGGTATAATATCATTCCGGACACCTCCACTTACTATCACGTGGTAAAAAAAATTCCTGACCTCACCACATTCGATCCAACACCAAAAATCCGATTTTTTTTAAAAAAAAAAAATTTATTAAGCTTTAGCGATGGGTTTATGGGTTTAGAACGATGGATGACGACTATGGTCGTACATCGGAGGCATCGTCAGAGTATTCTATAAGTCCTCATACTTTTTTTTTATCTTTCGAAATAAAAACATCCGCCTAAGGTGAATCCGCTCAAAATATCCGGATTCACCAAGGTAGATCCGGAAATTTAAGGCGGATCTCCACATCCGCCGAGAATTTCTGGATCCACCTAGGAAGATTCGGAAATTCTAGGAGGATCGTTTTTTTTTTGATTTTTTTTAATTGATTAATTAATCAAATTTATTAATGTAATTTTTGTATTATTATTATAATTTTTATTGTGATTATTATTAATTTTGTGATAAATTGAGTAATTAGTATTAGTATTATTGTTGTTGTGATCAATGTTGTAATTATTTGCTTATGTTGTTATTATTTGTTGATATTATTTGCTCATTTAATCTCTCTAAAAAAAAAATCAAATTAAGTAAAATTTGAAAATATTTTTTTTTTTTAAAAAAAGTTGAGTTTCGCCTGAAAATTCCGAAAGTACCAAAGAGGATCTGGAATTTCAGGCGGGTCCATCACCGAACATCCGGAAATTTAAGGCGGATGGGTGGATCTGCTTGAAAATTTCGGATCCTCCTTGATACTTCCGGAATTTTCAGGCGGAACTCCATTTTTTTTTTTTTTTTACATAATTTGATTTTTTTTAGAGAGATGAATTGAGAGTGAAGTGAGTTGTGATTTCAGAAATGAGTGTTGTGAGTGTCGTGAGTATTTATTTACGAGGGGTAAATATGAAAGTTCATATAAAAAATACGAGCGGTGCCTAGTAAAATGAAAGTGACGTTTAACAACCCCCAATAACAAGCATAGAGTTTGATTTTTTCAACTTATCATATACTCCATACGAAGTATATAAATATGGACATTGTTGGTATTGTAACGTGAGAACTTCTGTAAGGACAATTTGTAAAAGCCTAAAAGAGCTATTGAGTTCAATAACAAAAAATTACTTACAAAAGTAAAAATTAAGTGAATAGAATGCATCATACTATTAACATGTTTTAAAGTCGCCGGATAAGTTTTAATGTACTAATCTACATTATCCTATGACTTAGGCCATCTCTATCCTCCATACAGACAACGTGCGCGCCTCCATGGCATGTGTCACGCTAGCATGTCAACCTTAGCTCCCGAATCTCCACATCATGCTATGTTCACCGTTTAATACTTCGATACTGCTACTACGTATATACTATATAGACATGAAACACATAAAACTAATTACAACATATAAAACAATTAGAAATAAAACAATCTTAATCATCAAGTTAAAACCGAAGTAAAGAGCATATAATTAAACAGCATGTCTAAAGAACAAGAACAACAGCAGCAGCCTATTAAGTATGGGGATGTTTTCTTGGTGTCTGAGAAGATTGCTAATAAGCCCATTGCACCACTAGACGCTGCTGCTATGCAGTCTGCTGAGAACCAAGTCATGGGTCAATCCCAAAAAGGTGGCCCGGCTTCCCTTATGCAGGCAGCCGCGGCCAAGAATGTTCGAGCCGGAGTTACCCCTCACGGTACAGCCTCCGATGTTGGGACAAACCTAGGCATGAATGTTACTGAGACCATAGTTGATGGTCAGCGTTTCATTACCCAGTCTATTGGTGACCAGGTATTTCTAATTTTTTTTTTTTACTTTGTTCAATGATAATACATTAATACTCTCATATATAACAATGTTAAATGCGATTATGTATTAAGTTATTCTTCGTTACACGAGCATATGCTAAGTTACAAAAATAAATATATTTTGTTGAATCTATTGTAGGATCACAAGTCCAATCTATACCCCTAATGGTACTCTTAAAAAAGGGAAATCCTAGCTAGAGTATCATATATGGTTTATTGGAGAAAGGGATATATATGTAATTGGTCAGGACTATAGATGACGTGATAGTAATCAGGCAGGAGTTGTAGAGTTGAACAAGGAAGTAGTTTACCATTGAAATCCTTTACATTGATTGATGCATAAAACGGATATGATATACATACAGGTCATAGTGAGGTGTGCAAACCCAAATCCAAACCCAACCGCGGACAAGATGGTGGCTCCACCATCAGCAGTGGACAGTGATGCAGTGACCATAGGAGAAGCCCTGGAGACATCTGCAATATCTGCAGGAGACAAACCCATAACCCAAACTGATGCTGCTGCCATTCAGGCTGCCGAAATGCGGGTCACAGGCCGCGGCAACACTCCCCCTGGTGGCCTTGGAGCAGAGGCCCAATCTGCTGCCACTAGGAATGAACAAATCATGTCTTATGAAAACAAGATCACTCTTGGAGATGTTCTTACAGTAACTATTTCTAACTGTCATTTGTTTCCTGTTTAATAAGCGGATTATAACATAATATACATTTGGAAGTAGATGCATACTATTTTGCTTTATAGTATAGGTGTGATAATAGTTCATTTTTTGGATGATTGATAAAAACTTTGTTACATGTTATAGGATGCAGCAACTAGATTGTCAGATGATAAACCAGTAACTATTCAAGATGCAGAAAGGGTGATAGCAGCAGAGGTGAGAAACGACCCAAATTTGGCAACCAACCTTGGGGGAGTCGGCGAATCTGTGGCCGTAGCAGCAAGGATGAACCAACAAAAGTTGAAGTAGTAACTCAGTAACTTAAGCATTATAAAAGAAGTTATGCACATAACACAGTAGTGTACGTATGCCTCGTATCATACACAAGTATCGTAAACTATGTAAAACAAGTTCAATTCAGTAGATTGGTAAGCTTTTTGAGCTGTGCAAAATAGCTGCAAACTACTCAATAAGTAATTAATTGTAAGTCTCTTTCAGCTGTTTACCAATGTGTGATTGTACCATGTATAATCCTTTAGACCTTCCTGTGTTTTTGAGATGATTTACATTTTACGTTGTATGGCTCCTTACCAAGTTTTCATATAAAGAGTGACAAAAACGGCGATAATTGCTTCATTCATTTTTCAGGAGTAATCACTAAAGGCTTATTGGCATGTTATTGTGCCAACAACATTATTAATTAATATATGTAATTTCTATAAAAATATATCAAATGTTTAGGCTAGATATCTTATTGAGGTACATTGTTCAAAGTTTGGTCAATTACAAGCTCAAAGGAGGTTCTATATTATAACCAATTGGTTATGATTATGAGTACCGCATGGGGCAAATCACAAGTGAATTACAACGGGATTTCAATAACTTCAATTCATGCCCATACTTTCCTCCTTTTCAAAACCCATGGTCATTGGTCAACTATCAATTGTTACCTAACTAACATAAAACTCTTATCCAATCTCTATGTTGTACCTCCTTCCTCTAAATTCTCCCATTATGCCTTGAGGAAATGCTATGCAAAAACTACTCCTACCCTAGCTTTCCTTAATTTTCTTTTCTTTCTATATACTCTTGTGTGATCTTCAGTGAATATATATATTATACCTTATCCAGTTATCTCTCACAATGTTTTTGTTTCACGAGTCAGACACTTGAAAGTAAGGGAAAAAGGTTAGCTATAATTATTTTATTTAGTACCATCAAAACAATTAGGATACAGCACCGAGTTAGAATCAATACACATCATATTGACACTTGCCCGACATACTAGACTAGGTGTCCAAATTATACAATAGTTCCCTACTTCCCCTTACACCAAAAAAATATATGAAATAATTAATAATAAAAAAAAGTGTGGACAAATGTCACAAATTTATGAGCGAAGTTACATACAAAATCAGCATATAAAAAGGCTGAAGCATGACTAAAAAAAAAAAGTGTGAATCCATAAAATTAATGAAGTAGTTGTGAAAATGGCTTCAGAAGGGAATGAACAGCAAAGAGGCCCAATCCAAGAAGTGGGAGATGAAGCGAAAAAGGCCATGAATGTGAAAGTTGAAGCATCATTATCGGCTGAGAAACCAGGTGCAAGTGTAAGGCAAGATGAAGCTGCCTGCAATAATAAAACTGGAGGAGAGAGAAAAAGAGAGAGTAGAAGTTGGGCTAGTGTTGTAAACCAAAGTGTTGAAGATGAGGTGTTCCCTTATTCTACTAGTACCTTTTGAATACCTTGCTTCTTCCATTTCTGCCCTTTTTCTTTAGGAATAATGGTTGTATGATTTTGTGGATTGAGTAGAGTTTGGAATTTTGTTTCATCTATAATAACTTTTTTTAGTGTATGCCGGAACGATTATTATGTTACATACTTAATCTGTTTTTATCTACTTGTAAGTTGTAAACCTGTAACACATCATTTTGATAGTTCAACACGTTAATACTTAAAATTGTTCAATAATCTTGTAATCATGTATAATACTACTTCGTATAATATAAAAGAGAATATACTACCTTCTTTCGTAAAACATTAACATGAGTATATTCTAGTAAGAATAATATGTGGCCGATAAAGCAAATTTGGATGAGTGTAGATACATGATAGCTTATAACAGTAGCTTCACTTGTCAATTACTAACCTCTTCCTAGTGTCCACGATTGTAAGGCAAAATAAGCCACGAATTCTCTTAATTATGTGTTAATTGTTATTTATTTAGAATTTTCATCATCAATTACAAAACAATGGCCCAAGAACAGCCCAAAGAGAAGTACGTGGGCCTGATCACCAATAGCCCATCAAGTACGAACGTTAACGTTACAGGTGTTGTATTTTTTTTTAAAAATAATTATTTTAGAAAAGAAAACATTACTCCGTATTTTTAAGAAAGGAAAAAAAAAAAAACTTTTTTGTGTTTGAAGAATAGAAAAGAAAACATTTGCTTGCACTTTTCTCGGCAATTTATTAGAAGCGTAATTAAAGCTAAGATATCAAAATTTTAGAACACTTGCATAAATTTGTTTCTAACGTATGATTTAAATTGATCACCCCTTAATAATATTGATCTCTTCCTTTTGTTTTTGCATACAATTTTATGGTAAGGTCCTACACATTAAGGGAGCAGTTTGTGTTTACATGATGACCGAAGAGCAACACCCACCAGAAGTAATGGGTCCATATGAAGAGCCTATCAAATACGGCGACGTGTTCATTGTATCGGGCCAAGTTGCGAATAAGCCCATCTTACCGGAAGATGCCGCTGCCATGGAGGCCGGCGAGCGTAGTTATGGGCCAAAGCCCACTTTTTGGCCCAGCATCCGTTATGCAATCCGCCGCCTCTATTAATGTGCAATCGGGATATTGTGACCCGGATTCAAATCCGATCCATGAAGGGGTTCAGGTGACAGAGTCCGATATAAATGGAATTCGAATCATCACGGAATCTGTTAGTGACGAGGTTCTCTTCCTTAAACTTTTTAATTATACCACGTAACATTTTTTAATTAGACATTGAGACGAATTTTAAACTTGATCTATAGTCTGAATGAATTGGGCCAATTATTAGTAGGTTATGGGCTAGAGGTCTAAATTACTCCATATGTTTTTAACAAAATATTGCTACCAGATATAGTACCTTTTTCATAAGGGACCAAAATATAACCTTATCTTAAGATTTTGGTCCAAGTTGTGCTAGTTTATCTAAAGAATTGATTGCTAGGATAGTGAAATGTTTGATAAATTGCATAAACAGGTAGTAGGGCAATATGTTGAGCCAAACTTTACCGGACCGAGTGCGACTTCTCCAGCGGAACAAGCCCAAGAGAGGGAGTCAGTCACAATTGGTGAAGCCTTAGAGGCTGTGGCACTTTCAGCTGGTGACCACCCCGTTGATAAGGCCGATGCAGCAGCTATAGAGGCTGCCGAGAAGAGAGCTCTTGGCGTCGACACCATGCCACACGGAGGCCTCGCTGAGGAGGCTTACAATGCAGCCGCTTGGAATGCTAAAACGTTGGGATATGAATTTAGGACTACTATGGATGACATCCTTAGGGTACGTACCGCAATTTTATATATGGCTGAAAATAATGATCTTGTTTCTTTTTTGGTGAATTTAATTTGAAGTTAACTAGCTATCAATTAATTAATTTATATACTATGATTATTTGAATACAAAAATGTAGGATGCTAGTGATAAATTGTCACATGATAAGCCTGTAACGCATGAAGATGCCAAAGAAATATTAGAAGCTGAGGCCAAGAATGATCCAGCCAATGCTATTACTGCTGGTGGAGTGGGTGAGATGATGTCTGCAGCTGCAAGTTTAAATATTCCCAAATCCTAGGAATAAATACATAGTGTTGCGTCATTAGATGCTATAAATATATTTATGTCGTGTTACAACACAAATTAAATACAAAAGCATCATACATTCGGGTGTACCTGCACCTATAATGGACACTACTCTCATCATACATTCCGTGTACATATATTGATTTTAATCTGCCAAGATGATTCCTAAGTGTATATATATAATATAAAATGCTAGTGAGCCTTACTTTCATTGTGTTCGGTTTTGGTGTGTGTTGTTACTCTCATATAAGCTAGCATCAATGCTTGGAACTTATTAGCCAATTTTTATGGTTGATGTGGGACATATATCATATATTTATACACTGGAAAATGTTTCTTTTGCCCCACTTGAATGTATATGTTTTATCTACTATTCCAAAAATATTTACTGCTCATAAAGAGACAATATATTATGACAGATTTTTGATACATACAAGAAAATATCATCACAAGAGAAAAACGAATCAGTCCTGAATAGTTAGTTGGATTGATTTCTCATATCGTAGGTCCATTATAGAGAAGAGTCCAAGTTCAAAAAATTGTTCGTGCGTGTGATAAAATTGAAGAAGCTAAGCTTGGTCGTAACTACGAAGTATGTAGTACAGACCAAGCGGAACTCAAATGTGTCGTATTAGCTAGGCCGAGTCAAGCCGAGTTGCCCTTGACCACAAATACGAAGTATAGGTGTACATAAAGTGATCTAGAGATTCCTACATACTACGATTAGTAACTACTTCAAGTGACAACACTATGTTCTATATATATGTGTATCTTGAAAAATAGCTAGCATAATCTATCTACATATATGATCATGATCAACACCTAACATGAATTTGTTGGATTGGAACTAAAACATGGGTGATGAACAGAATCAAGCAACGTAAATTAAAATCTATGAATAATCAGTGTATGTAAAAAAACCCAATTAGCCAAGAAGTGATAGACTTTAAATTTTTTATAAAGTTGAGGGACTCTCATAATCTATTATACGAGCCAGACACTTGAAAGCAAGAGAGGGATAAGAGATCCTCACCCGACTTGTAATTACACTTTTGTATATATACATACCAAGTATGTGGAAAAACTAAATAAGAGCATTAATTAATATATATGTGTAACATTGAACGTTCAACCATGCATTATAATTGAAGAAAACAGCCAAAATCATTCATGTATATATGACTGATGTCTGACCTTATTAAATATAAAAAATACAAGACAACTAAGGATGTTGGGATCCCACTGTGTACGTTTCCAAACAAAAAACAAAATCCACAATGCACTAAGACAATATGCTCTGAATCTTCGTGCGTTCATCAATAATACATAGTTTTGCTGTCTCTACTGCTCTACATAGCAGACGAACCTCTGTATCTCAATGTCTGTTACTACAACTATTATTATACTCCTTTAATAAACTTTATAATATATGCAACTATATATATATATATATATATATTCAATTAGCTAGGGTAATAATCGCCTCGCTTTTGAGCTATGTTATTTGGCCTAATCACTCCATAATTGGATGCTTAATCATATTAGCTAACCTCCATAGTTTAGGTAGTTTCCGTACACCCTCCTAACTAATTAGTTGGAGAGGTTGTTGTTCTTTAAAATTTTCAACGTGCGGTCTTACGATATTTAATGTAGTGTGAAATATCAAATGAATGATGATATAGGAATACATGACCATATTGATTGTTACATTACTCATGATTTAACAAGAAAATAAATAA